CCAGTGAAATCGTCTAATTAAAAGATATACTACCGACTTGAGTCGCCGATCCGCAGAGAGGGGCAAAATGAAAAGCAGGGAGACCACCCTGCTCCTAATCCTCGGCTACTTATGGCCCGGCTTGAACGTCTTTCGGTTCGCTTTGGCTGGTTTTTAGGGCTTTGTGCTCCCTCAACACGGTTTTATGGCCCAGGGCTCTTGAAATTAGCGCTTCCGACGTCCAAGGACGAGTCCAGCCGCCCCCTGACCAACCAACCACCCACCTCCTGTCGGGCTGTCATATTGATTTTTCGCTTTTTTGGCCAAACTCTGTGGGAAAGGACCTGGCATCATAATTGAGGCCGCAATCTCCGCGTTCTGCTCTAATTAATTTTTATTGGCTTTAAAGAAAATGCAAAAATTTTAGCCTTTAAGAAAATTAAATTCATTACGAATCTCTTACCTACAAAGTAAAACTTTTGTTTAAATCCCAGTGATTTATTCTCTACTCACTGCACAACATTCTCTTTCACAGCGAAAAGTAAAATTGGATTTCGTTCATATCCTTTGCATTTTAGCAACGTGTCAAGGGCAAGTTAAATTTGTTGAATTTGTAGAATTTCACTTGACGGCCGAAAAAGCAAAACGAAACCTTAAAACTTGGAGACAACTTTTGCAGCAACTTTATAGTTAGATTAAAAGCATTTCCCGGGAAAGTTTCGCCTCCGGCTGAGGGTATAGTATCTGTGTAGGTGGATCCTGTATTTCTGTGTGTGGTAAACAGCCAGAAAGTCGAATTGGTTGCCAGACAAAATGGAAGTGGTGACTAGATGAAGCAAACCACTGCCGCCGGCAATAAAAATCTATTACACTTTGTGGGGACACAACTTTGATTTTACGAACTGTCAGACTACGCAGATAGACACTAGAGAACATACAGATCTCATACATATTTATGTATCTGAATTCCGCTGGCGGCGGAGTGAAATAAAAACCGATGCTTCAAAGTTGGCTGTCAAGCGCAAAACTTATGCAATGGTTTTATGACGCAGCGCCAAAGGATGCTCATCTCCTTGAAGTATGCCATATATAATGTAATAAACATTAGGCACTCAGGTTGAAGGTCCCCAGAAACATCAAAGGCAAATAGTTGATGAGGAATTTGGGCATTTCAAAAACACTCCACTTCCCAAGTTGGTATCTATTTATATTAACTTTAATGAGAGCAATAGTACTTGGCATAAATCATTTTGTTGTAATTTTAGCTAAGCGGATTGGGGTAAACATATGTAAATCCTCGTTCTAAGCTCGGCATTTATTTACATAAGACCACATGCAAATGCCAAGAGTCAGCTTTCCAATTCCTCTGTTTGACGAGCTCTTCGAAAGGTGTTTTCAGTTTCCCAGCTTTTATTAAGTACTATATATGCCTAAACAGATATATAGGACAGACTGTCTGAAAAATGAAAAACAAAATTGGTGGAAAACATTAAAAATCGCAGGCAGTGCAAACTTTGACGTTGAGGGAATAATTTGTAGACCATTTGCTGAAATCATGGATGGAAAAAGAAAAGTTTGTAATTTGCTCATCATGCCGGCAAAACTGAATTATCATTCAGCGCAGAGGTGCTGATGCCGGATTACCCTCATAATGGTTCGGTTCCCCTAGATTTCCCTCTCTCCAGGACTTAGGATCGTTGGCCATAGCCAACTTGTGTACGATTGCACTTGCCATCATGTGCAGAGACCGGAAAATCACATGAAAAGCCAACTTGAGCGCCCACTGGGGGCAAACTTTGCTCAGCGTTTACGTTAAATTTTGAGTTAATTAGTTTGATTTCATGCTTCAAGTGTCGAGCACCCACTACGGATTGCCAATTCCATTTGCCAACTCATTAAAACTTCTCCAAGTTCTCGGGTTCCTTAGTTGCGCAATGCCTGGGCAAATTGGAAACGCTTTCTGGCAAATGAATGTCAAAACAAAAGTATTCAAATGGCATATCTGACTCGTAGCCTTTGTCCTTCGGGGTCCATTTGCTGTACACATAAATTGACTGGCAAAGTCACTAACTGGCTCGCAGAAGTTATCAATTAGTTCCGCCAAGATTTAATAAACCATGAAATTTTAATTAAAAGGGGGAAAATCATTGTAAAATACTTGAAGTTTTTAGGGATAAAAGAGTTATGCTTTCCGGATAATCATTTGGTAATAACATTTTTGGAGTAATAAATATTTTACTGGACCCATGAAAAGAAACATTATACTTTTGCACTGATTTTTCATACAATTTTAAAAATATTTGATTTTTTATAAAGAAATATAAAATGGTATTTTAATATAAACCTGTAAAAATATAAAAACAAAGCATTTAAGATTATATTTAAATATTGAAGCCATAAAAATACCCTAGGGAAAGAATGTATATAATTTGGCACCATTTTCTCATAAAATGTAGCAATATATCACCTTTTATAATGAAACATGTAATGTTATTTTAATAAAATCGATGAGTCTATCATATTAAAGCAATAAAGTGAACCTATGAAAAGAAACGTTATAGCTTGGAAAAAAAATATTCATAAAATTCTTATTGTAAGATAAAAATTCAATATTAAAGCTATAAAATGTTAATCAATCTCTGGTCATGGCACTTGCAATTTGGTTTGCTCAACATGATGGGAAATTAAATGCGATGGACAGTCGGAAAACAAGGTTTTTCCCATTTAGCAAGGTGAGGATGGGTAGGTACATTTTCCAGGCCGCCCAGAGCCGCAGGAAAAACTCAACAACTGAATCAAAAGAAGAACTACATGACAGCAATGTAAATGCGATATGTAACATGTAATTTCATTGCGCCGACGAGGACAATGTAGGATGGTGATGATGAGGATGATGATGCTGCGGACAAGGATGCGAATAATTGTGGAATACCATCCGACCGGGAGGACCGTGTCAATGTCAATGCTCGGAAAACAGTGAACAGAGGACATACTACGGAGTACATAGGGACAGACATGTGGCTCTGATTAGTGCGGTTCAACGACAGCAACAATCAATATTAATGCATGTCAGCACCCAGAAATGCGAAATGTGAGATGTGAAAGGCGGATGTGCGAGTGAGTGAGCAAGGACATGGTCGTAATTATGAGGCCATCAACGCAATAGTTGGCTCTCGGCTGTTAATAATTCTCGATTTCCCGATACTGACAGCCCGGCTGACGAAGTGTGTGGGATCTGGAAGGATGGAGGATGCCTTGGGACATGATAGAACCCATCTCCATTCCATCAACAGCATCCACTGACGCCTGGGAACAATTTGAGCGAAACTTGGCCAGGCATCCGAGGACTCATCTCCCTCGAGCTGACAATAAATATTTTCGCTTTTGCCGACAGGCTGAAAATCAATACATACTTTTAGGACCCAGCATTCGCACACATTCTCGCAGATACACACAAAAGTTTGGTATACATTTTCATTTTCGGCATTGCACGCACTGTGAAAACAGGATAACCCATCGAGTTGCACCCACTCAACCTCAAACAAGCTATGCATAAATGAAATAAATTGCACTTACGTCACCAGGATACAGACAATGCAAACCGCAAATAGCATTTCAAAACTCTGCCAGAGCATTTCTAGTGGTAAACTTCTCAAAGGAAGGCAAATATACATATTTCGGACAGTCATTTAAATGAAGGAGGGGAATTGGGGTTTATTTAATGCACATAATGCACAGGCTTATGAATAATTTTCTAAGAGAAATTCACTTATTGTTAAATTGAAATTCCAAGGGGTGTAAACAGCATTTTGGTCAATAAAGAAGACTATTCCCATTGAGATTAGTTGAGTTCCGAAACGCAGGACAAGCATATTTTTCCTCATATTTTAAGCTCTAGAAAATAATAAAAAATGTTTTTTAATACTAATTTTAATAAGAAATGTTTCAGCAAAAATAAAAACAAAGAATTTATTAAATTTGCCTGGTCTTTGAAGCTTACAAAAACCATCATAAGTTGAGTAAATCACAAACGAAAATTCCAAGAAAAATCTCTTCACTTGAAGGACTTCTATTTTTCAGTTATTGAAAAATAAACCATTTGGGGTGTAGAAAATCTCACCTAAGAGTTGTCCCAACTGTCAGTCTGCGGTTGGCCTTCGTTTCCCTCCTCCCCGACCTTTGGCCCCTAAAATACCCAACTCAATTTTCAATCCGATACGACAAAATTGTAAAAAAAAGTCCCAAAAAAGAAAAGTGGGAGGCCAGGGGTCCTGGAATGGAATGGCGAACAAAAGGCAGAAGTAATTTCGCCAACACTAAATCTGTGGCATATTACATGGGACACAGGCCAGAGCTGCCAAGAGAAATCTGATCCACTTAGTTTCCAAGAGAAGGCAATAAATTCTTATGAAAACAGTTGAGGAGCGGCGACACGTCCCTGTGCCAAATGAATTGAACTTTTGGTCAACTTGGAAATTGCACTAATATTTGGGCCTACAAGCAGCGACTGGACAGCTGAGTCCCCGAGTTTGGCCAAAAGTAAACAAGTTCCCGTACCTTTTTCGATATTTATGAGTAGGACGCGGGAAATCTTTACAGGGTGTAAGCAAGAGGAGAACAAAATCAAATAAGCCCGTGCGATAGGCTCTGAATGAAAACAAAGTGCAAAGAAGTCAGTGTGTGTGAAGTCCCACAAGGACACTTGGCCAACACTGAGCTCATAAATTTTAGCCCAAATTTTCGCCGGTTCCTGGAAAGCCTTAAGCCAGAAAACGACGTAAATGCGAGAACCTAACACTCAGATAGCTTGAGGCTAGCCAGATATACACTTAAATAAAAGAAGTAAATTTAAACCATTATTATTTTTCTTTGGGTCTAATAAACAATATAAAAATAGATTCTAATGTTATTGACCTATTTTAAACTTGGCTGAAATGATCAAATATTCTCCTCTAAGTGTATTTATATATATATTATTTATTAAACATTTTATTTATCCATTGCCATGAAAAGATTTGAAGTTAAGCTCCCTGTTAAAAGCTCATTTATTATATTTTCTCAAGATTCGGAACCCCTTTTCAAAGTCACCACGTATTTCACTTTCCAAGGCCCAACTTCGCCAGAGCGATATTTATAAGATAGTTCACGAGACCATCAACTAAGGCTTTTGAAGAGCTCTTGATCAAGTTCTGAGCATCTTGCCTGACATGTTCCGGAATAGCCCCAGTAGCGGACTTAACTATTCCTAGGATCTCCCAAACTCCTCCTTGGGCTGGCACTCCATCTACGACGACAGTCTTCCTCTTGAAGTCACGAACTTGGGTATTCAGTTGAGTTTCCCTAGCGACATCTGATCCCCTTTGACCCTTGTATTTATTGTAAATGCCAATGACTTCATAGGCAATTCGCACCTGGGTGTTGGCATCAGATGTTTGACGACTTTGGAACTGGAGTTGCTGCAGCCTGTTGCGATCTGCCTCTATCATTCCGGCATTTCCTTTGCCAGTTAGGCAAAACATCACAGCCACGACAAAGCTGAAATTTTAACATGTTTAATATTTTTTTGGTTTAGTTTACCATTTTAATTACCTTAAGCGTATGACACAGTGCATCTTTACTTTCTTTACTTGCGAGGTTCTGGAAAACTCATGCTGAATGCATTTCAGACTTCCCTTTTATACAATGTGAGTGCCAAAATCATTAAAATGATAAAGCTTGCACTCTGTGAACAGAAATATTTGATAACGTTGTTTTTTTCTTTCCTTACATATGGCTCTCGATTATGGGATGGGTCAAGGACTTTCAATGGAATTGATAATTCTCAAATCGTCACTTTTCGCAGTAATAGCAATCTGATTGGGCTCTCCAAGTTCTGGGAAAATGATTTTTTCAGTCTTATTGGTTCAGTTTCCGGGTGAAAATACTTCCCATTGAACTGATAACCAGTTTGCATTATACGAATCAAACGTATTTATAATGGTTTTCAGACGCAAAACTGCACTTATATATTCCATAACTTGAGTAATTCGATTCCGATTTTACCGTGGGATACCTCTATGAATTTGTGGTTGAATTCTCTTACAATCTGCATTCAAACTTTTCTCTTAATGAGGGTCCCATTTTTAACCCATTTTCATGTTCGATTTTTATGTATTTCCAATGGTTTTCAGTATGGAAGCCCAAAAACTGCACTTCTCGATTCCATAAGTTTAGTAATTACATTCCGATTTTGACGTTGGATACCTCAATGAATTTGTGGTTGAATTCTCTGACAATCTGCATTCAAATTATTCGTTTAATTGAGGGTCCAAATTTTGACCCATTTTCATGCTTGATTTTTCCGTATTTCCAATGGCTTTCAGTATGAGCCCAAAACTGCACTTCTAGATTCCATAACTTGAGTAATTCGATTCCGATTTTGACGTGGGATACCTCAATGAATTTGTGGTTGAATTCTCTGACAATCTGCATTCAAATTATTCGTTTAATTGAGGGTCCAAATTTTGACCCATTTTCATGCTTGATTTTTCCGTATTTCCAATGGTTACTGAAGTATATGAGCCCAAAACTGCACTTCTAGATTCCATAACTTGAGTAATTCGATTCCGATTTTGACGTGGGATACCTCAATGAATTTGTGGTTGAATTCTCTGACAATCTGCATTCAAATTATTCGTTTAATTGAGGGTCCAAATTTTGACCCATTTTCATGCTTGATTTTTCAGTATTTCCAATGGTTACTGAAGTATATGAGCCCAAAACTGCACTTCTAGATTCCATAACTTGAGTAATTCGATTCCGATTTTGACGTGGGATACCTCAATGAATTTGTGGTTGAATTCTCTTACAATCTGCATTCAAATTATTCGTTTAATTGAGGGTCCAAATTTTGACCCATTTTCATGCTTGATTTTTCCGTATTTCCAATGGTTACTGAAGTATATGAGCCCAAAACTGCACTTCTAGATTTCATAACTTGAGTAATTCGATTCCGATTTTGACGTGGGATACCTCAATGAATTTGTGGTTGAATTCTCTTACAATCTGCATTCAAATTATTCGTTTAATTGAGGGTCCAAATTTTGACCCATTTTCATGTTTGATTTTTCCGTATTTCCAATGGTTTTCAGTATATGAGCCCAAAACTGCACTTCTAGGTTCCATAACTTGAGTAATTCGATTCCGATTTTGACGTTGGATACCTCAATGAATTTGTGGTTGAATTCTCTTACAATTTGCATTCAAATTATTCGTTTAATTGAGGGTCCAAATTTTGACCCATTTTCATGTTTGATTTTTCCGTATTTCCAATGCTTTTCAGTATATGAGCCCAAAACTGCACTTCTAGATTTCATAACTTGAGTAATTCGATTCCGATTTTGACGTGGGATACCTCAATGAATTTGTGGTTGAATTCTCTTACAATCTGCATTCAAATTATTCGTTTAATTGAGGGTCCAAATTTTGACCCATTTTCATGCTTGATTTTTCCGTATTTCCAATGGTTACTGAAGTATATGAGCCCAAAACTGCACTTCTCGATTCCATAAGTTTAGTAATTACATTCCGATTTTGACGTTGGATACCTCAATGATTTTGTGGTTGAATTCTCTTACAATCTGCATTCAAATTATTCGTTTAATTGAGGGTTCAAATTTTGACCCATTTTCATGTTTGATTTTTCCGTATTTCCAATGGCTTTCAGTATGAGCCCAAAACTGCACTTCTAGATTCCATAACTTGAGTAATTCGATTCCGATTTTGACGTGGGATACCTCAATGAATTTGTGGTTGAATTCTCTGACAATCTGCATTCAAATTATTCGTTTAATTGAGGGTCCAAATTTTGACCCATTTTCATGCTTGATTTTTCCGTATTTCCAATGGTTACTGAAGTATATGAGCCCAAAACTGCACTTCTAGATTCCATAACTTGAGTAATTCGATTCCGATTTTGACGTGGGATACCTCAATGAATTTGTGGTTGAATTCTCTGACAATCTGCATTCAAATTATTCGTTTAATTGAGGGTCCAAATTTTGACCCATTTTCATGCTTGATTTTTCAGTATTTCCAATGGTTACTGAAGTATATGAGCCCAAAACTGCACTTCTAGATTCCATAACTTGAGTAATTCGATTCCGATTTTGACGTGGGATACCTCAATGAATTTGTGGTTGAATTCTCTTACAATCTGCATTCAAATTATTCGTTTAATTGAGGGTCCAAATTTTGACCCATTTTCATGCTTGATTTTTCCGTATTTCCAATGGTTACTGAAGTATATGAGCCCAAAACTGCACTTCTAGATTTCATAACTTGAGTAATTCGATTCCGATTTTGACGTGGGATACCTCAATGAATTTGTGGTTGAATTCTCTTACAATCTGCATTCAAATTATTCGTTTAATTGAGGGTTCAAATTTGACCCATTTTCATGTTTGATTTTTCCGTATTTCCAATGGCTTTCAGTATGAGCCCAAAACTGCACTTCTAGATTCCATAACTTGAGTAATTCGATTCCGATTTTGACGTGGGATACCTCAATGAATTTGTGGTTGAATTCTCTGACAATCTGCATTCAAATTATTCGTTTAATTGAGGGTCCAAATTTTGACCCATTTTCATGCTTGATTTTTCCGTATTTCCAATGGTTACTGAAGTATATGAGCCCAAAACTGCACTTCTAGATTCCATAACTTGAGTAATTCGATTCCGATTTTGACGTGGGATACCTCAATGAATTTGTGGTTGAATTCTCTGACAATCTGCATTCAAATTATTCGTTTAATTGAGGGTCCAAATTTTGACCCATTTTCATGCTTGATTTTTCAGTATTTCCAATGGTTACTGAAGTATATGAGCCCAAAACTGCACTTCTAGATTCCATAACTTGAGTAATTCGATTCCGATTTTGACGTGGGATACCTCAATGAATTTGTGGTTGAATTCTCTTACAATCTGCATTCAAATTATTCGTTTAATTGAGGGTCCAAATTTTGACCCATTTTCATGCTTGATTTTTCCGTATTTCCAATGGTTACTGAAGTATATGAGCCCAAAACTGCACTTCTAGATTTCATAACTTGAGTAATTCGATTCCGATTTTGACGTGGGATACCTCAATGAATTTGTGGTTGAATTCTCTTACAATCTGCATTCAAATTATTCGTTTAATTGAGGGTCCAAATTTTGACCCATTTTCATGTTTGATTTTTCCGTATTTCCAATGGTTTTCAGTATATGAGCCCAAAACTGCACTTCTAGGTTCCATAACTTGAGTAATTCGATTCCGATTTTGACGTGGGATACCTCAATGAATTTGTGGTTGAATTCTCTTACAATCTGCATTCAAATTATTCGTTTAATTGAGGGTCCAAATTTTGACCCATTTTCATGCTTGATTTTTCCGTATTTCCAATGGTTACTGAAGTATATGAGCCCAAAACTGCACTTCTCGATTCCATAAGTTTAGTAATTACATTCCGATTTTGACGTTGGATACCTCAATGATTTTGTGGTTGAATTCTCTTACAATCTGCATTCAAATTATTCGTTTAATTGAGGGTTCAAATTTTGACCCATTTTCATGTTTGATTTTTCCGTATTTCCAATGGCTTTCAGTATGAGCCCAAAACTGCACTTCTAGATTCCATAACTTGAGTAATTCGATTCCGATTTTGACGTGGGATACCTCAATGAATTTGTGGTTGAATTCTCTGACAATCTGCATTCAAATTATTCGTTTAATTGAGGGTCCAAATTTTGACCCATTTTCATGCTTGATTTTTCCGTATTTCCAATGGTTACTGAAGTATATGAGCCCAAAACTGCACTTCTAGATTCCATAACTTGAGTAATTCGATTCCGATTTTGACGTGGGATACCTCAATGAATTTGTGGTTGAATTCTCTGACAATCTGCATTCAAATTATTCGTTTAATTGAGGGTCCAAATTTTGACCCATTTTCATGCTTGATTTTTCAGTATTTCCAATGGTTACTGAAGTATATGAGCCCAAAACTGCACTTCTAGATTCCATAACTTGAGTAATTCGATTCCGATTTTGACGTGGGATACCTCAATGAATTTGTGGTTGAATTCTCTTACAATCTGCATTCAAATTATTCGTTTAATTGAGGGTCCAAATTTTGACCCATTTTCATGCTTGATTTTTCCGTATTTCCAATGGTTACTGAAGTATATGAGCCCAAAACTGCACTTCTAGATTTCATAACTTGAGTAATTCGATTCCGATTTTGACGTGGGATACCTCAATGAATTTGTGGTTGAATTCTCTTACAATCTGCATTCAAATTATTCGTTTAATTGAGGGTCCAAATTTTGACCCATTTTCATGTTTGATTTTTCCGTATTTCCAATGGTTTTCAGTATATGAGCCCAAAACTGCACTTCTAGGTTCCATAACTTGAGAAATTCGATTCCGATTTTGACGTTGGATACCTCAATGAATTTGTGGTTGAATTCTCTTACAATTTGCATTCAAATTATTCGTTTAATTGAGGGTCCAAATTTTGACCCATTTTCATGTTTGATTTTTCCGTATTTCCAATGCTTTTCAGTATATGAGCCCAAAACTGCACTTCTAGATTTCATAACTTGAGTAATTCGATTCCGATTTTGACGTGGGATACCTCAATGAATTTGTGGTTGAATTCTCTTACAATCTGCATTCAA